TTCGAGGGCGCGGAACGACAACAACGCTGGACTTTGAGTGAGTGATTCTCGGAAGAGTATCATCCAGACTTTTGTTCCAAGAACTTTGGACTGGATAGGTTTTCTATCTCTTTAGTCTTTAAGTGTCTTGGTTGTTCAATGCATGCGACTGCATTGTAGTGTGTACTGTTGTCTGTGTCCGTTGTTCGAGTGTGGCTAATTGTACTGTGTAGTACGTTGTTTGATCGGTGACATATTGTACTTAGCTATTGTGGAGTGAGCATATTTGCGTGTTGTTTTCTGATCTGCCATTATTGAGAATATAATTTTGTTGGTTTATCAACTCTCGGCTCTGACTTGTTCTTTGGGCCACAGCCGGCGTCTGCTGGCGCGCCAAAAAGGACCACTTCTAAATTGTCCACGCTTTCGTGGTGCGGTTCGGGAGGCCGATAATTCGGCCCTTGGAATTAGCCCGGCGATCGCCTCCCTAATTAACGGGACCTGTGTGACAGAGGTATTATCTCAGCAAGAGTGTTCAGCACTACCCGGCAAGCATCAATCAAACTAACCCTTGCCATGCATCGAAGTGTTCGTGTTAAGGGTGCTGACGGCTGTACATGTACCTATTCTACCCTCTTACGACTGTGAGCAAATAACGTACATTTGCATACGAGTGAACCCTCAGAGGGTTAACTAACACTCGTGTCGTTTTCTCACACTGCGTTCAGCTCAGTCCTTATATTTTTTATAAGCTGGGCCAGTACATGCAACATTAATGGGATGAACGAGATTTCAGTTTAAGCACAGTAGTCACCCGGGACATAGTCAGAAAACTTTTCCTGGGGAGGAGCGGACGGTTCATCCCTAGTGTAATCTAGTGCATGCGTGCGTATGTACATGTGTATATAGTGTGGGCATTTATTATACACGTATTTTTCATCTGTACATTGTCAACATAAGGCGTTTGGTTGTGCATCCTCATGTTCATCGTGTAGCATCATCATTATTTTTGGATCCACCGTATACCTGTTCGCTGCCGGGTCTTCGGGCCTAATAAACATTGGCCCAACCAAGAATTCATACACGTGGTCGAGGTTTAGGGGTGCCAATATTCAAGGGCATAATAATGCTCCACTATGAATGTGTGCTTATTACACCCACTTAAGTGGTTGGCTAGGTAATTATGCATGATCTACACACGTAAAAATTTTAAATCCCCCAGCTCTACCCATTGATTGATTGATTGATGCGTGGGGTTCAACGTCACAAAACCACCATATGATTACGAGAGATGCTGTAGTGAAGGGCTCCGGAAATTTCAACCACCTGGGTTTCTTCAACGTGCACCCAAATCTGAGCACACGGGCCTACAACATTTTTGCCTCCATCGGAAATGCAGCCACTGCAGTCGGCATTCGATCCCGCGACCTCCAGGTCAGCAGCCGAGTACCTTAGCCATTAGACCACCGCGGCGCGGTGCTCTACCCATTGGCCATGACAGCAGTACTTATGAACTGAAACTTGCGAATTCAGGGTCAAGTAACCTTTGTTTTCATTATCATCATTGCATGGTGAATATCAATACAAGCAGTAAGATAAGTGCAACCAGAGTCACCAGCTCCACAGAGTTTTGCTGGCCGCATCAATGTTCCAATATCACCAATACACATAATATCACACGGTGGTACGACAACCGTCACTGCCCCATAAAATATAACAAACCTAGTACCCAAAAAAATAATTTGCATGAAGCTGCATGATCACTTTGCATTGTACATTAGAAAGTGAATTAAATTGAGACATGGGGGTTTCCGTCGCTTGTCTAACATTATACTATTTCGTAGCAATAGTAGGAACAGACCTCTATGGCAGACACCATCACCTTCTCAGGAGAGAGAGAAATAGATAAAAGGAAAAGACAGAGAGGTTAACCTGGTAGAAGAACCGGTTTCCTACCCTGCTACAGGAGCAGTGACATAAGGGTTGAAGAAAGAATAGCGAGGACGAGGTAGCAAAAAAAATATATAGTACAAATACAAACACAAGCAGGGGGTTCACGCAGAAAGTGCATGAGCGCCTGCACAGCCTTCTTCTGCGATGTAAAGTACCTCCTCAGAAACTTCTTTGCTATGAATATGGTCATCTTCACTTAGTACAGAGACATTGAGCAAGATAGGCTTGCTGTGACCGAAGGCTGTTGATCTGTTCTGAAGCAGTTGTTTTGAGCTTCCCTAGTTTTATACGTCCCTTATTAGATTATCAGTGGCCATGTACAGATGCCACTAATGCAAGCATGCTCGAGCCAGACTGAAACCTAAAGAGATGTCGGCAGCCTTGAAACTGCACGACACAGGTCTAAGCTAAGCTAGTTAGTCTAAGTTCACTATGGTAAACATCACAGACAATGTGACAAGCCTTAGGAGTAGGACATGACAGGTCCTGCCCTGCAGTTTCAGTTCTCCCATCATCTTCATTCAAAGTCATGTTCAAAGCATATTAGTGATTAATGAAAGGCATGAATTCAACCTCCTATAGGAAATATAAGTGGCTACTCACTAGCATCAACACACATCCATCAACATTTATTGGCATTAACCCATCAGTTCCTACCGCACATTCTGATACTTATACCTATTCACCAGAACTCACTGACATACTCACACTCACTTACCCCCTCTGACAGTAGCTCAAGCCTACTTAAGCTCATCGCCTTTCATTCGTGCTCGCATTAACAGGCACACATTTATGTTCTCACTAAAGTCCAGTAAAACTTATCAACACTCACACCCCCTCACAAGCTTCATTCCTTAAAAGGAGCCTAAACCACCCCTATAATTATATAACATTTCAAGTAAGTGCCCCCATCATGTTCAGAATGCCATCACCATCAACAATGCCAAACGCAGTAGCACTACTAGCCACAGGCACCCCACAAATTCCAAGTAACAATCTCTTCTCCAGTTCTTTTGGCACTGTTCAGCCCCTCCAGTGTTTGCTGTGATGTCAGCATGTCTGCTTGTCATTTACAAACTAGTTTAGGTCCGCTCACGTGCACGTGAGCTTGCCGCTCTTCCTCCTCGTGCGATGAGGAAGCGCACTTAGCTAGGGGGAGAAGTGTGGAATAACGTAGAAAAGAGCAAGACGAATGAGGGACTCATTAGGGTCATCAAATGCACATCGTTCCTAAAAGTTCTCACGGCTACAAATTAACTCTAATCTCGCACACAACTGCAACACCACAACTTAAACCGGTGTCACACGGGCATATTTAATCGCGATGAGTGCCAATCCGGATTAACCAAGATCCGTATTAGGTGCTGCTGCACGTCATCAGCCGTCATCAGACCCGATTTTTAGCCGTCATCAGACCCGATTGGGATCAAGACTATCACAATCTGCGCAACCCGATATGGCTGAGAGATCGCAATTTCGTGTTGTCTGCATCCCTAGCCGAGCTTGTTGAAACCAAAGTAAACAAGAAAATCAAGAATAATTCTTTAAAAACAGATTTACAAAGCTAGATATTTATTTATGAAAAAGTTTTTAACTATTTCTATTGAAAAAAATATCTGTAATACTGCATATTTTAAGATTCATATTGACCACATGTAGTTATGGGAGAAGCAGACGGTAAGCAGGCGACAAGTTCAACTCTCGCACCGTCAGAGCAGTTGAAGCCCCTCGAAGCAAATTGATTATGACTGCCGCCAGCTTTTCGACTATGTCGCAGCGTACACGCACTTTGTAGTTGAATGAAGAGGCTTTTACAGTAAGTGACCGCTGGCAGGAGCAACTAGGAAGCGCCAAAGGTGAAACTCTGACATGTGCAACAATATTGTCGTTTTTTTGCGACGGGACGGCTACGAGTAGGTGCCATCAGAAATAAAAGTAAAGATTAACATTCTCACACAGCAGTACACAGGTAAGTGCAAAGAAAACTCTACCAAAGAAGAATAGACTTATAAATTAGTTTTCGTAGTGGCACACCAAGCTTTTGACGTTCAAGCAGTTTTTGCACAAATAACATATTGCTAATAAATGGCTCTATTGCAATCTCGTATGCTAAGCTTTGTCAATGACATGTTTTATGGCACACAAGTGCCACCTGGTGCATATCGTCTGACCTGAGGCCGTACCAGATTAGCTTGGCTGTGTAGCAGCGGCGATAAAATTCATCGCTGATCAAGAAAACCAATTCCGGATTATCCTGATCACGATTAAAATGTTCCCATGGGACACCGGTACAAATTTTGACCTCTGGGTGGCCTAGGGGCCCTTCAGCACCATTTGTCCCGCATGTAAAATGAGGGCTGTGCATACTTGAATGAATGAATTGTGGGTATTACCACGTACAAAGGCTGCTAAGACGCAGACGTGGGAGGACACCTGCTTGGCTCGAAGTGTATACCTTCCTTTCCTTTATTGCCAAGCTAGTATTCGTCCGATTGCTCAAGTGTCCCTTGCAATCATGGTTAGCACCATATGCTATCATTTACCAATCATGTCAATTCCTCTAGCATTATAAGCACAGCAATTGAAGCACCAGTTTTAATAGCGAAAGAAAGTTCAGTTTTTCATGGCCATATGGTAGGAGTAAGACTGAAAATGACTAAGTGGTCTTAAGATAATACAATAACAATAACTCCATAATATATCAGGATAATGCTCATTTTGGAGACCTAACGGAAATATGAACCAACAGAGTGAACTTAGTGTCACAGCTTTCATCTAATTCAGAGCGATGTGAAATCAGAAAATAAGGAGTGACAAGAATAATGTAAAAATTTTCATCACATTATGCATTGTTAAAGCTGTATATGTAGCTTTCACAGTTTTCAAACAATGATTACTTTTGACAACTAGCCTAAATGAGGTAATTTGCTGGTACATGTTTACCCATTGCCTTTGACAATGCATTATCACTGCATTGTTTTTTTAAAAGGTGCAACAAATTTAAGCATGTATCCATCTACTACAAAGTGACAGATAAAATTTAAGAAAGATAGACTCAAGAAACTCACTCGAGCCAGGGTTTGAGGCATTTCTCCTTGTAGCTATCAGTCACCCATTCTTTTCTGACAATCTTGCCACCAGCTGCTTTCACTTGGCCATATTTTGGTGTGTTCAGGAAGGCACACCTGGATGAGTAGAATAAACAAATGCCCAAATATGAGACAACTAATCATACTGCTCTCGTCATCTGTAGAGGTTAAAGCACGACTGCCTAACCCAAGAGAAGAGTGGCAAAGTCAAGATAAGATTAGAAGAGTGGCAAAGTGGATACATTTCTGACATGTTCAACCCACACATATTTATCAGGAAGCAATAAAATGTAATTACTGGAGCTGTGCGAATAGAGAGATTTCAAGTGCGAAGCGAACTTGAATATTGAAGCACGAGTGTAAATTGAATCAAATATTTTTATAATATTTTCGAATATTTCTACAATATTTTTCTAATACTTTGAAGTGAAATGGCAGAAAGAAAAAAGTTGGAGCGGATTCCCAGGCATATTCTTATGAGATAGCAGCATGAAAGTGTTTCTTTTGGGTAGGTTGATGAAGCGTTTGCGGGTTGGTGTTTCACAGTTGTCTAATAAAGAATGAGGCAATACAGAGGCCGAGTTGTATTTATGTACATGATTTGGCGAAACTGAACTGTTGCCGACAACACTACACATGAATAACAAAGATGCTATTTACTCAGCGCCTCCTCCTTTTAGAACTTCTCTGAAAGCCTAACTGACGCGGCGGACGAGAGCATGCTCCCTCTGATTTAGAACTGCAAATCTTTCTCGTAGACATTAATATATATGAGATCTAAAATATTGGGTGCTAAAAGTCTTCACCATTTGATTTTTCGGACTTCCTGCCGAAATTTCAGGGCCAAAACACAATTAAATGTGCCCCACCTCTTGCACATCTACGAGCTCCATTTTTGAACCAGCGTTTTTTTTTTATTATTCAATACATATGCGACTGTAGCAAAGCCTAACAGACAGCTTTGCTACAATACGAAAATATAATGCAGTGAAGCATATTAAAAATCTGAAGGGAGCTACTGCTAATCTGACGACTGTATTTGTGTTCCGGAAGTTCAAATAGTTTTGAATAATGAAATTCGAGTGCCAATTGAATCGAATAGCAATCACTATTGGAAAAATATTCAAAATTTCAAAAAACTGCACACCCCTAATAATTACTGAATTGCCACATAGCTCATTCAGCATAGCCACTACTCCGCATTGCTGTGACCCCAAAACTGAAAAGTCTGATGTCAATGAAAGCACAAGCGACTAAGCATTCAGTCTTCGAACAATTTCGTACATTTGCTGATGTCCATTGGTGCAGCATACAGACAGATGTATCAACGGACAATGTATGTTACTGCCTGAAAAATCTGAACTGAGCACACACACACACACATGACAATATCGGCTGCAATACTGCACAAAATTGATTGCGCTGTTCAACATAAACATCTATATATTTATACACATCAGAGAAAGAAAGAAGTGTAAATTTGAATACTAGTTTTCTTTGTTAGACACAATATTAATGAGTACACAGGTTCGGTCCGTGCCCAGAGCATATTATTTTTTCGTCCAATTTTCTTCCCATTCACATTGCAATTACTACTAATAGCATTCCCTGTGCCTTCCTTAGTACCACTGTCTGTTCGTTTTCATTAATACTGTACACAGTGCAACACATATTACGGTAATAATCTTGCAGAGCTTCTGTATTAAGCTTGAGCTGTTACATTTCTTTAGAATAACTTACACAAGGTGAGTGCAGGTGCGGTCCCAGTCTGCCTTGTACTTGGCCCCCATCTCGAGTGCTTTGTCTCGAATTTGAGACCGAAGTGGATTCTGGAAGCCACTGAGCACAAACACCACACCCTTCATAAGCTCTTCAAACTTCTTCGGAGGCTTTGGTTTCTTCTTTTCTAAAGAAAAAGTAGAGGAAAACAGACAACAGTTATCCATGGTGGTTGCCTCACGATCGGGAAGAAAGTGCCCAAACAATGTTCACAAAACTGTAGATTTTTTTCAAAGGTGACACTTTCCAACAATTTTATTTATTTACACCATCACAGATGGTAATACTCTGGCACTTGTAACAGCGTCTGCCTTTGTTCAAATGATGATTTTTTCCATGTTGGTGAATGTGTTATATACGAACTATAGGCTCGCTGCTGTAACGCTTTATGGCAAAGCAATGGCTCAGTAAATAACAAAATCAAATAAATTCAAAAGCTTTAACGCAATTAGTGTATAATGATACTATCTAACAGAGAGTAGTATAATCTGACAAGAATTATCACATGAAAAAGTTAACACATGAGTGTAACACTGTGTGCATGCAGTCTCACTCATCTTTACATCTTGTACAAGAAGTGCCACTTTTGCCTTTTTTCTATCACATGACATCACATCAGCAATCCAATCTGCATTCTCAGATCAACAGTAAAATTCCTAAACTAAACCTCAACAAAGGAGCATTACGAGTCCAAATGGAAAATGTAAATGTTGGGTGTAAACTGCACCAAACACTAATACCCAATGTTTGCTTGTAGGCAAGGCGTCATGGCTATAAGGTGTGTGTTTTCCACGTGCAGATCTTATCATCCCAATGCGTGCATTCATTGCAATGCAATTGTTGAAAAAAAGCGATGCTGCCAAGAGCTCCACTGGCCGAATGATTCTTTCATAATAGCATTCACATGCAGCTAAGCACTGCACCATAAAGATGACACCAGAAAGCAGTGAAATTCGGCTAATATATTAACCATAGAAGATACACTTCTATGTTTTATGCAAAAACTATGAAGAATACATTCAGACTTTGTCCGTGCACATAATACACTATTCTCACTTCACAGCCTTGAGAAACAAGCAGTTAACACAGCGTAGCTGTTGCAAGCTGTAAGGAGCACTTAACACTTGCCAGTGTCATTTCATTCAAACTGTACTTTACGGATATATACACACAAGCCTCGATATGACGAACTCGGATATAAAAAAATATTGATTGTTATGATGTAAAAGAATACTCCTGCAACTTATGTAGTGTTGCAGATATACCTTTAAACAAATTTTTGGATATAACAAACTCATTTTGATTTAAGGTGCAACTTCATTATAAACAGGTTTGAATGTACAATAAAGTGTGTTTGAACGACAGAAAGGTTCAATTTGTACAGAGAAGAATGTGCAATATGTACATAAAAATATGGTCATACAATTGCTGCATCCCAACTTTCCACACAATGCTCATGTGTCAAAAGATACGAGTTTTTTTCTACGAGTCTGTAGCATAATCATCCACGACATTGCAACTCGACAGGCAGTAAGTGCTACCTTACTCTGAGCTTTTGGTGTCTGGGGCTTTTGCGTCTCTCTTGGCTTTGGCTGTTCAGCAGCAAGTTTCTTTTTTGCATCAGGTGTTGCACTGGGCTTCTGAGCCGTTTCCACATTGGAGGGCTTCTGCAGTTTTCGGGCCGCCAGTGGTGAAGAACTTTCTTCGGGTTCCTCCATGGCCTGCTTCCTCTAAAGTTGGCAAAGGTTTTGCAAGAAAAAAAAGAGAAAAAAACAGTTTACTCATTCCACACGAGTAAACCCGAATATGACTTTCGCATCTTTTTTTTGTTTGAGCTCTTTGTTTTGGAACAAGACATGGTAATAATGATTCAATAATATCTGAGGTGCAATGTCCCAAAAACCACGAGTCGGTTAAGATAGACACCGTAGTAAAGGGCTCCGGAAATTTTGACCACCTGGGGTTCTTAACGTGCACCTAAATCCAAGTACACAAGCCTAAAACATTTTTGCCTCCATCGAAAATGCAGTCTTCACAGCCGGGATTCAGTCCCGCGACCTTTGGGTTAGCAGTCGACCACTAAACCACCACGGTAGGACCAAGATATTGGGGGCCAAGACATTGTCACGTCTGTTATTTTGATGCCCTCCGCTTAAACCCACAAAAACTGTGACCAATACTCAGCGCACATCATGTCTCAGTGTCCAAGAACATTCACGACCATTTGTGCACAAGACGCGAACACTCAAGATTATTCCAGAGCTTCCACGACCATCAGTGATAAGCCTGGAAAGTTCGACGTGTGATGCACAAAAGAGGGCGCGTCCCAACGATGATCAGTTGAGCGACGGCCGGCACTCTGTTTGCCGCTATCAGTGCCAGCGTGTATCGCTGTATTCTCACTTTCTGTTCATCGGCCACAACTTCGGCCAAATAAATAGTTTCATCTTGGACCACAGTCTGCTCCCTTCATTCACGTCACGACCCCGTGACAATATGCTTCCAGGATTGTACTAGCATAGCTATACTAGTCATCAGCATGACACTAGTGCGCAGTTATAGATGGGCTGCTCCAAACAATTTTCAGTTAGCCCACTCTTAAAGGGCACCTAATCACCCTGTGTTCAAAGACGAGGGAGTGATTTCTTTCTCCCGTTCACTATCCTTTCCTACAGGCAATATCTCCTCCTTGTCACTTATTTCTTAAGAGCATGCATAAAATGTCAGCCCTAAGCGGTGAGCTTATCAGGATTTCATGCTTGTCGGGTACACGCTGTGATCACCATTTGTGCAGACAGAAACACAAGAAAAATGAAGTGAATTCAGCTGATCGTGCACGATAGTCATGCAAGACAAGAAAGAACAAAGGCCGGCATCATAGTAAAGGCAGTGTACGAGACAATTTCGAACTGACATTTTGTGTGTATGGACCAATCGAGCACGATATGTGTCACAATGACGTCCCGTAAATCGCCATTGTTGCATCACGAAGTGTGCCAAAAAGATACGAGATGCCAGAAAAGAATGGCGCACTCGTTTTTTTTTTTTTTTTTCTGATTTTTAGAGGCTGGTGAGGTGCTTTTTAAGTGAGGCAACTCTATCTTTGCAAGTTTTCTCATGTCTTCACACCACCCATTCGACAGCTGTCTTGATCTGCCTTTTCGATTCCTCAGCACCCACTCTGCAACAGTAGCAGAATGCACGTTAGCTGCCTTACGAATTAGCCTACACAATTCTGTTTCATTCCCTCAAACTGAACTGCAATATAATCTATCCCCATTCATTTCCCAGCCAGCAACCGTGCATTAACATCTCCTAAAGTTACCCCCATAAATATTTATTCCTTTAACTGTTGAATGATCCTTAGCTGCTTTACCGTGAAAGTACTTGAACTTCGGTTTCAATATAAACGCCGACTGGTCTGAAAATGTTGAGCCTATCACATGTACTATAATATGATTTTCAGGCAAAACAGCGACCCCTTTTTCAGTGTATAAGTGAGGCACGATACCAAACAAAAGAGCTGCAGGCTACTGAATTTTTCGATAATCAATTTCTATTTTAAATTCGCTTGTAAGCACCAAGTGGTGCACAACATCGGGAGGACTTTTCGAGCTAGAATATACCGTAATTCAGGGGCCGCAGCATTTCATGCATTGGCTTGAGACAGTGCTTCAGCAAGGGTCCATACTGTTATGAATATAGGACACAAGAATGTCTGTATGTTTGAAGTTTACTTAGAGGTAAAGAAATTCACGTAGTTATAGTCTTGCTTACATAATAATAAGTCAAGATCCCAACCGCAGTACGATTTAGAACAGCGAGCTGGGCTAGTTGGTAGGTATTCATTACAAAAAACTGGGCATGAAAACACGGTCACTAGAAAAAGGTCAAGGCACCAAAGATGCCGACTAACAACTGTAAAGGCGCACAAAGGTGGGAGAGAAAGAAGGCACGAAAACTCATCTGGACATGCCCAATCAATAGGCAAACCTATCAATCGGGCATGCGTGCAGGTCTACATGACAGATAACTGCTAAGGCATTTGATTTCTTTTTTAAGCAAGTTGTTCAGCATTTGACTCAAGCATGTGTGCGTGTTAACCAGGTATAACTGTAACATAAGAGATCACTAACAGAAGGCTCACTGTCTGATCTTTCTTTATATTTTTCAGAGTGTGTAAGCGCCCGCTGAAGTTTGATGAACGCGTAGTTTTGTACTGGCACAGGGATGAAGAAGTGTATTTAATGACTGAGGTCAGTCATATCCATAACAGTGGTAGTGCATACATCAATTAACTTGAAGAAACCAAATGCCTTAACAGTAAGCTTGTGCAAAATTGTAAATTTTTGGTTAAAAGAGAATAGTGATTTGATTTGAATAATTTCAAATCGAATTCAAATAGTATATATTAATGCACATCAGAATGAAAAATAAGCACATTTGCCAAAACCCAACTTACCTAAACAATACATTTTTCTTTTAATTGAAACAGGACAACAGCAAATGTCTGTCTTTTTGGTTCAAAGGTAGCAGAAAAAAACTTTGAACAGTGGCATGATTTGACTTTCAGTACAGTGCAAGTGATAACATGTAAAATATGTTACATTTTAATATTTACTAGACTTAGATCATAGAAGCTAGTACGACAAGCATTTAAACATATAAATGGAAGAGTTGATGTGAGGATAATAGTATGTTCATTAACCTTTAAGCAAAGCATCGTGGCAGCGCAATTTTTCTTGTACAGTTGTATTCACGGCTTAGCAGCCCTCCACTGCAGTGAAACCACACTCGCAAAAAGTTACATGCGAATTAATATACGTTTATTAATTCACTCTTCGAATACATTGCAATTGATGATAATTTAAATTTGAATCGAAGCGAATTCAAATATGTTATTATTCATCGAATATTGATGCAAGCCTGCTACACAGTTATCTGTCATATGGACCCGGATGCGTGCCGGATTGATAGGCTTGCCAATTGCATGGGCATGCGCAGATGAGTTACCGAGCCTTCTTTTTTCTCGCAGTAGGTAGCGGGCATCTGTGACACCTTGATTTCTGTCTTGTTTCTGTTTTGCACACCCTGTCATTTAGAATTGACTCAAAAATGTGAACGGCTTATTCTTGTAGACTGCAACAAATCATCGTGGCACACAATACCACACCACTTGGCATAAAGAGAGGTTATTGCAACATAAATTTCTACACCATGCATGCTTTGATAATCCTAGATCTTCAGTATGAAACCTTCTAGTTATCAGCTGAACTGTGACATGTTCAAGATAACTCCACATCATTTCGTCGGTAAATTTTTTATCTCAGCAGTAGTACTACAAGTGAACCTTGTTTTCTGTGCATGCTAAGGAAACAGATGTAACAGAGCTTGCAAAGTCCATGCAGAGAACAGTAAAAAGGTGTCTTATTAGTAAGCTCTCGATAATTATAAATGTACAAATTAAGTTATTAGTAATTGAAGAGTATGGCTTGAACTCTAACTGAAACACACTACTACAGCATACACCCTAGTCCAAGTGTAGCTTGGGAATATTGAGTCCAATTGGTTGTTTTTTTTATTAACCCCAAAAGGATATAGTAACTTACACTGCTGGCTGGCTTACATGGCTTCAAACTTTTCTCTTCTGCAGTGCGAAGTGCCGTCGCTGCATAGGAGGCACCCTTTATAGCAGCAGGACCTGTAAAGAAGTCAAGCACTCACTAAGTGAAATAGACAATGAAGACAGAAGCAAAGTTACCGGAGTAAACACAATAAAAAAAACTGAAGGTGTAATTAAAATGTAAACACTCAAGACCACTTTCTTGATATGCTAATTGTTACAAGCTGCCACTCTAGCGTCGCCAGCGCGAAGTCGGCGACGGGAATGACAGCAGGTTAGTTCGTTCCGTACGTAAGCAGAGACAGTGAAGAGATCTGAGACGTGAGAAAACAAAACAAACTTTACTCTAGTAATATTGCAGCACACAGGATCTAGTACAACACCTCAATACAACTAACAAAATACATCAACACTTGATACAACAAAAAATATATATATAAAAAACAATAAAACAGCTTACGAGGGAGAACTATTACAAGCTACACAAACTAACAACGATAGAACTACGGAGGAGAAAGTTCGAAGATATAAACAGGTGAAGGCATACGTGTGATGACCAGCAGCATTGCGTCCCCGACGATCGGATGCGAGAAGTCGAAGAGAGTTCTGGCACGACTGCGATGTCAGCGGTGTTGCAACACTGGTGGCTCCGGGAGGCTAGTGCTTGCAGGTGACCTCGGGCAGGTTGAGCTAACTCGAGGCGAAATCCCGATGACTATGTTGCAGACGTTAATATCGCATCACAACTAGATGAACGGCTAAGTTTAGGTGGCCAGCCGATACAGAGCCACACTAAAAACTTCTAGAAGAGATACTTGTTGATCTGCTTCTAAACCATGTTGGTCAGCGACTAGACTGCCTAGCAGGGCAAAATCCTGCGCTTAAATCCCCCTCGTGTCCTCTCGCTCTCTTCCTTGGGGACAAGAGACCTCTACATGGGTCCAATTATGCGCGTTTCATTGTGGGAAACTCCGCCCAAAAAAATATATTGACCCCACCCCTTTTTAATTAGGAGAGGGCCCTCAACTAGCGAGAGTGACAACCTGTTGGGGTGCTGTCATACGGCTTGGCCACCAGAGGTTTTCCCACGGTTTTCCCGTGGGAACGGTCAGACTGTTTGGCTCTCAGCCGGTGCGTCCCGTAGTCTAATCCTTGTTCGGGGTACATCGCGGCCTTCCACGACCCTGCAGACGCCGCCGCAGGTACAAAGGATCAAACGACGGCGGCGACGTTCGAAGAAGAGCACCCCATTCTGCACATCCCGGCACTCTTTCATGCGCCCACCGTTCCCGCCGGTCAGCAAGGTAATATGGCGCCCGTTAATTGCCGTGATGCCGCGTCACAAAAATGGCAGTCCGTGACACTAATTTATGCTACAATGAAAGAAAACAACCTTTTTTTAAGCCTGGACTTTGTAAAGGCGCTGTTATCCCCTGTAAAGTTCTTTGCAACTTCTGGCCGCCACATGTCTTACGAATAGGCCGCATTTAGGCTCAAGAGCGGCCGAGCGGGAAGTGGCGCTGTGCTCGCGTGAGTTAGGGATAATGGGGAAGCACCAACAGAGCCACACAACTGACAGGGGAGAGGCTAGGCCGGGGCACGGGAAACTAAACAGTAGTGAGACTATTCTGGGTTTGCACGTGCCCAGATGATTGGCTTCTACGGAGGCTCCTGCAAAGGATCTGCAGGAGACGGCAGCCACGGGACATTTTTCGTGGATCCCTCACGGTGAGTCAACCATCAGTGACGCTGCATTTATGGTACCTTGCTGTTATGTAGTTTGTGTGTTGTATTGGCATAATGTATAACGTTGTTTAGCGTATTGCAGGTGATGTATTTGATGCAGCTGGCAAAATAGTTGTTTGTACAAGCAAGTGAATAGATGTACATCAGCTTATTTTGGTTTGCCCAGGCACCTCTACTGTCCTTGTGTGTGCCAAGAGTGGCATTCTCCTCTCAGACCCCACCCACCACTTACTGGTTGAAGAATCAGCAGATGCTCTTTCTTTCCTCTTGGCAAACCACGCACCAACAGCAATATCGGCTTCATCTTCCTCGTCTTTCAACAGTAAACTCCCCAACGAACCCTTTGGTGGAGGCTCCACCTAGAAGGAAAAATAGTTTCATTGATAGCAGTTTGTCTATTACAGGAAATATAATATTGAAGTGAATCACACAAAAGTGAGAATAAATTGGGTAACTACACCTTGTTGAAACAAAACTACGTAGTACTGATGAATTGAGAGTACTAGCTATGAAACAAAATATCTAGTACTTTGGCTCTTTAAGGGGAGATGCTACTCGAAGACATTTTTTTTAGATATTCACTCTAGGGAAATGAAACTTGAGCTGTTTATGAAAATTTTTGAGCTGATTTCAAATATAAATATAGATTTCTTGCAAGTTGCTTACTTTTAGCTCTGCAGAATGACAAAGTGAAAACCTTAACCCTTTTGCCCCCCCCCCCCTCTTTTCATCCCTGAACTTCCGTAATATTTTACCATACATAGTTTATAATGTTTTAAATAAAGTGTAGAATGCAAATACCTAATTAGAAAGCACATACAAAATATGTAATAGGCGTGAAAAATAATAGTCGTAAAAAGTCCATATGTCACCTACCTTAGTAAATGTTTACATAGAATTTTTTATTCATGATGAAAAGGGGCGCGAAAAAAACGACACACAAAGAGAAGAAGTACACGGGAAGACGCGCTACTAGCAACTGGAATATTTTATTCAGGAAACACCATTTATACCGCAGTGACATCAAATTTAACCCAACGAATCGACCAAAAACTAAAAATACGTGCTCAGCATGCCTATAAGTAACGTTGCAGATAGGCTATCTCCCCTTCCTGCAGACTGATAGAGGGGTGGCTGATGCAATCAGGCCCCTCCCTCTGGATAAAAAGGGCTTCTATAATCTCCCTCTCCGCTGAGCCCCTGTGCCTGTAGATTACAGTTGTCTGCTCAAATACCGGCTTACAGTTACCCTGATCGCATCCTCTGCAATGCATCGCCAGATGCGTGAACGGCCTTCCTATTAAAGAACTGCTGTGCTCTCGCAACCGCACGTTGAGGCATCTACCAGTTTGCCCTATGTATGCCTTGCCGCACGACAGGCCTAGACACGAATGTCCCGCAGGGAAGAAAAAGAGTGTCAAAAATCCCGTATATCCACTGGCTTTCGCACGGCCTTAAGAGAGTGGCTTCGAGGTATGGGGTGGATCTCGTGTTCTCCGCAGAAAACAAGGTGGGCCGCATCTGCTCAGCGGTTGGTAAGAAGACAGGTAGGCCAAAGCAGTGTGAAAAAAGAGGATGTGCCATTAAGCACGTAAGACAGTTCGTTCCTTGCGCACGTGGTGTTGTATTTAGAATACCACTGTCGTGCGGCAAGGCATACATAGGGCAAACTGGTAGATGCCTCAACGTGCGGTTGCGAGAGCACAGCAGTTCTTTAATAGGAAGGCCGTTCACGCATCTGGCGATGCATTGCAGAGGATGCGATCAGGGTAACTGTAAGCCGGTATTTGAGCAGACAACTGTAATCTACAGGCACAGGGGCTCAGCGGAGAGGGAGATTATAGAAGCCCTTTTTATCCAGAGGGAGGGGCCTGATTGCATCAGCCACCCCTCTATCAGTCTGCAGGAAGGGGAGATAGCCTATCTGCAACGTTGCTTATAGGCATGCTGAGCACGTATTTTTAGTTTTTGGTCGATTCGTTGGGTTAAATTTGATGTCACTGCGGTATAAATGGTGTTTCCTGAATAAAATATTCCAGTTGCTAGTAGCGCGTCGTCCCGTGTACTTCTTCTCTTTGTGTGTCGTTTTTTTCGCGCCCCTTTTCATCATGAACCAGCACCAACTCGCCCAACTTTTTACTTTACTGAGTAGAATTTTTTATTATACAATAGAATATTAAAATTTGAACTAAATAATTGCATTCGCCGTACTTTGGAAAAAAAATTGGGCAAAATTTCATGCAGATCCGAGCACTAGAAGTGCCCAAAAAAGGAGGGGCACATTGAAAAAAATGGCAAAATTAGTGTTTTGAGAAAAACGAGTTTTCAAGTTAAAATTGAGTTTTTATTTATGAAATATATCATTAAATCTGATGAAATTTGCACACCAATAAGAACAATCCTTCTTGTAGTGGCTACTGCGACTAAAATACGCCCGCCCCATGAGTTTGTCCCTCTTGGCTTTTTCGGGTCGACTCTTTACAGACCTTTCGCTCACAGAAAGGGCCATGAAACGCTTGCCAAACTTCCGCTCCATCTGGCAGAGCCCTGTGCCAACTGCACTAGGAAGAAGTTTGACAGGACTGCGAAATCTAAACTAAGTACAGTGTCATGTCACTTTGCAGCCATGTTTGTGCCACATACTGTCGTACATAATGGCAATGTCGTCCCCACTAAGTTCTCTCACTGCGAGCTCTTTCACCCTCGCAAGACTGGTGCTGACATCATCCATTGCCGCATCACGAACATTCCGAATGACGGGTGTGAATGACTTTTGATGCATTGGTTTTTGCAAGCCAACAACTGCTGCAAATCGAGCCAGCTGCTCGTAGCCTATTCCTACAGAGCGCCCCACAACGGCTTTCACTTGCGAGCAATGCTTTTTTCATTCATAACAGAGATAATTACACGAGAAAACCATTGTTCAGCTGCGCTGCTTGACAAGACATGGACCCCGCAAATAGGCTTCACAGCACATACTAATGCGCAGCAGCCAATGACGGTCCCCGATCCGTACCACGCGATAAGCCAGTCTCAGTGCTCGAAAAACGCGCAGAAGCGTGCTTCTTTTCATTATTTTTTGAGCCGCATCAGCGAGGAAAACTGTTGCTGCTTGAAGAGTGAGGCTCGACTTTTCGGCTAATGCGATCAACAATGGCGAGCCATGGCACATTATCGGCGGCAAGGTGCTCGAAGACTGCACACTTTGGACCTTTTAACAGGCACCTTGTGCTCTTTAGATGCAATTTTAAAGCAATGCCAGTCAAGTCTCGACTGTATTTTTTTTTTTTTTCATAAGAGTAGTGTTACTAATCTTATCAAAACAGACAAAAATAAAAAATCGGTAATATTGAAAAAAAAAATTGCGTTTTTTTGACCTGCATCTCCCCTTAACTGTCAAAGTTGCAACATGTCTTTGGTCCGACTTCCATACCAAAATGTATTTATCAGATCAACCAGCAGTCTATATTTCATTCCTCACCCAGAGCTTCCAATATGTGGGAGCTTAAACATCATTTAGTTTAATGGCAATTTAAACAGCAATGTCAACCTTAAAAACTCTGATTTAAATGAAATAAATGAAGCACACAACCCACAGTAACATTTTTTTATGCTTTGGTAAGGTATACGAAGTGCCACCTCTTTGTTGTGCACATGCTTGGTTGGCACCTTCGCATCACTAACATGCCACTAGGTAAGGTGAAGGCTTCTGCACGTACATGCAACTGTCTACATGTTTCACAATCTGAATGAGTTTCTGAGGTGCACAAACTTTTGTCCCGCGTAAGCTTCGCCGACGAATAAAGTCACATCCAAATTGCATATTTTGAAGGGCTTTCAATCAGACAAACAAGAAACAATCTTTGACAAGGCATCTAGATTCCAAGGCATGGATCAGCTGAATGCATTTACAGGAGTACTTGTGATGCTAGAGATCACCATAGGTGATCTTGGAAGTCAAGATGAGCATTGATGAGTACTGTCATAGTGGGCTCAGTATAAGACAAGTCAGTTACTGAAATAATTAGAGTAAGAAAGGGCACATGTAAATGAAGGATAGAAAATTAGTGGCTATAGGACTGCGTACTTGCATTTAGGAGCAAATTACAAAACTCAAGGTGGTCGAAATTTCCAGAGCCAACACTGCGGCGCCCCTCATAATCATAATGTCACGTGCTTGCTCAAGAAAGACGATGGCAGTTGTGCATGTGCCACGAAGGACTACGAAATGGACCAAAAAGAAGAACTCGCTTGCGCGTTCTAATTAAAAAGATCGACCTGCTTCTGGTGTCTCAATCTCTGCGGCAAGACCTCTGTTTTGACGTCGTTACACTGGTGGAGGTGCTGGAGCCGACAACCGGATGCAGGACAGTTTTGCTCGGACCTGTTCACCTAGTCCAGAGACCCAGCCCCTCGTCACGACTCCGGTGCACCGATTCAGTCGGCGCCTACTAGGCCTAAGTCCGGAGTCCGCACCTGTTCCGCCTCTAACCAGCATGGCAGCTCCTACCACATCCACAGCTACCCTTCCATCGCAGACCACTCTTCCCTCGCAGGTGACTCTTGAACATCCTCGCGTTCCTGAAGTTTTCCATGGGGAAGAGTACAAGGATGTCGAAGACTGACTCGAAAAGTTCAAACGGGTCGCTCTATCTAACCACTGGAACGAACAGCACAAACTTGCCCGTGCATATTTCGCCCTGGAAGATAGCGCTCCCACGTGGTACGAGAACCACGAGGCTACTTTCCAATCTTGGGAAGATTTCCGTTGAAAGCTCCTCACCACATTTTCGAACACGGACCGACGGGATCACGCACAGCAACTGATTGAGGCTCGCATACAAAAACCCAACGAAACAGCCGTCATGTACGCAGAGGGTATGATCCGTCTGTTTGGACGAGCTGACCCTGACATGCCCGAGGCGAAGAAGGTGCGTCACCTAATGCAGGGTGTCAAAGAACCAGTATTTTCGGGCCTCGTACGAAATCCACCTACAACAGTAGATGAATTCATAAGAGAAGCGACTGTCATCGAGCGCGCACTGCGACAACGATACCGACACTTTGACCGCCTGCTGAACCATACGGCAGTAAGTGCTGCAGCTCAGACACTGCCGTATGTGAAAGTTCTCTGCGAAAAATAATTAGGGAAATACTGCGTGAGGGGAAATACTGCGTGAGGAACTTCGGGCCCTCTGCGTTCCTCCTACCCAAGCGTCCGTCGCATCTGTTGCCGAAATCATCCGCCAGCAGTTGAGGCAAGCCGTTACACCACCCGCGCCAAGTCCTGAGCCACATCCAGCGAGCTACGCTGATGCGGTCCACCGTCATTTGTGGCGACACCCTTCCAGCCACGACCCGCAGCCGTACCTTGGTGGCAACGGGATTCCATGAGACGGCCGCCAGTTCGCCAAACTGACTTGTGGCGCATGGCCGACCGTCGACCTATTTGCTTCCTCTGCGGAAAACCAGGTCACATTGCCCGCTATTGCCGTCATAGCAATTCCGGGTTCGGGAACTTTTCTCGTCCCGCTTCTTTCCGCTCTGAAGACTGTCATGCCCATGATGCCGATCAACTGTCGACTGGCCAAGCAACTAGACCGCGTCGCTGGCGATCTCCATCTCCTGCGCGTCACCGTGACTTCCCTCAGAGCTACGCGGACGTCTCCAGAGGTCATTCGCCTAGCCCGCGCCGGAGAAACTAACTGCTGCGACCTCCGGGGGCAAGGTTGCCAATCGTCGAGACACGGAAAAGTTCCCCCTAATATTGCAAGAAGATATGACAACAACCACGACGAACACTAATGCCAGTGAAGTTTCACGTTCTGATCTTGGCGTTTTTATTGACGGACATCACGTTACAGCACTGGTCGACACTGGCGCCGACTTCTCAATCATGCGACAAAAACTCGCCGACCGCCTTAGAAAGGTCAAGACACCTTGGACAGGGCCGCACATAAAGAGTGCTGGTGGTCAGCTGATGACTCCCACGGGTAAATGCACCACTCGACTTCGCATTGGGGATTCGAGTTTCGTGGCCGCTTTCGTCCTGTTGCCAGACTGCTGTAAAGAGCTAATTTTGGGCATGAATTTTCTTCGAGATCATGGCGCTGTTATCAACATCCCTCAACGTATGGTGACGTTTTGCGCACATTCGCATGTCGACGACAGCAGCGACGAACTACGTGGCTGTTTGCAAATAGCCGACGATGTGACGCTCCCACCGAGATCCTGCTGCCTTGTGTCTGTGTCCAGTGGGTGGCCTTCCTATAAAGATGTGATAGTGGAGCACATAGTCGTTCTTTTGCTCACGCAAGGCATTTCCATCGCGAGAGGCATCCTAACCCTTACTGGTGGACAGGCAGAAGTGCTCCTCACAAACTTCAGCAACGAGCGCCGTCAAATCCAGAAGGGTACCGCAATTGCCTGCTTCGACGATATAGACCAAGCCGGGGATCGCTGTGCTTTGCAACCAGACGACGCGACAGTCCCTGTCTTGAAAACTTTGTCGGTGGACATCTGCTCCACGCTACCGCCCTCTAATAGCAAGCTCCTCCTTGGACTTATACACCAATTTGAAGACTGCTTTTCGCGTACGTCAAAGGTCCAGCGGACATCATTGACCAAGCACCGCATCATTACTGAAGACCACACACGACCGATTCGGCAGAACCCCTACCGTGTGGCCCCGAAAGAATGCGAGGAGATTCAGAAGCAAGTACAAAAGATGCTCGTGGATGACATCATACAACCTTCGAAAAGTCCTTGGGCATCCCCCGTGGTTTTGGTCAAGAAAAAAGACGGCAGCTTACGTTCCTGTATTGATTATCGCAAGTTGAACCAAGTCACAAAGAAAGACGTCTATCCACTGCATAGACGATTCACTAAATCGGCTGCGTCATGCACGCTATTTCTCTTCAATGGACCTCCGAAGTGGTTACTGGCAGATAGAAGTCGACGAGAGAGATCGTGAAAAAATGGCCTTTGTGATGCCTGATGGCCTTTACGAAATTAAGGTGCTTCCTTTTGGGTTGTGCTCGGCGCCAGCCACTTTTCAGCGTCTCATGGACACCGTACTATCGGGCCTGAAGTGGCAAACATGCTTGGTCTATCTGGACGATGTTGTAGTACTCTCAGCATCATTCGAGGAACATCTCAGCCGTCTATTCACCGTACTCCAAGCCATACGCTCGGCCAGCCTGACTTTAAAACCAGAAAAATGTCATCTTGGTTTCAACGAACTCAGCTTCCTAGGCCATGTCGTCAGTCACGAGGGTGTTCAACCCGACCCGGCCAAAATAGACGCCGTAGCGCAATTTCCTGCACCCCGTGACAAAAAGGCTGTGAGACGCTTCTTAGGGTTGTGCGCCTATTACCGGCGATTTATCGAAGACTTTTCGTCTATTGCGGCGCCATTGACACGACTCACATGTGGGGACGTCCTCTTCTTTTGGGGTGAACAGGAGCAAATGGCATTCAATGTACTACAACGACTGCAAACCCCTCCAGTCCTTGCGCACTTTGACCAGGACGCCCCTACAGTACTTCACACTGACGCCAGCAATGTAGGTCTAGGTGTCGTTCTGGTGCAGTGGCAAAACGACTGTGAAAGAGTAATAGCCTACGCCAGCAGAACTCTCTCTCGCACGGAAGGGAACTACTTGACCACCGAGAAGGAATGTCTCGCCATGGTGTGGGCAGTCATCAAATTTCGTCCGTGCTTGTACGGCCGCTCCTTCAAGGTTGTTAGCGACCGTCACTCTTTGTGCTGGCTCACCAACCTTAAAGATCCATCTGATCGTTTGGCACGCTGGAGCCTAAGGCTTCAAGAGTTTGACATGACCATCGTCTATAAATCTGGGAAGAGGCACACCGACGCCGACTGTCTCTCACAGTCGCCAGTGGAAGCTGTCGCTCCTGACGACGAAAACAGGCATTTTTGGGAGTTGTCAACACGGCCACTATTGCACGAGAGCAGCGCAGTGACCCTGAGCTGTTACCACTCATTAAATATTTAGAAGGACAACGCAAAGACGTGCCGCGGTTATTTGCTAGAGGACTGCCATCTTTTTGCTTGCAAGACGATGTTCTTTATAAGAAAAATTGCTCACCAACCGGTAACCCGCACTTGCTCATCGTGCCTGCCTCTCTTCGAAAAGAAATTATGGAAGCGTGCCATGATGAAGTAACTTCTGGTCATCTAGGCTACACCCGAACATTGTGCCGACTACGATACAAGTACTACTGGCCAAAGGTACCTGCTGCTGTTAACCATCACTTGCGAACTTGCACCGACTGCCAAAGACGCAAAGCGCCTGACACTATCATGATTTTCAGACGTGAAAACCCCCAACAATTATAAAATATTATATGTAGACAACCGCTGATCAAAACCGGAAGTTCAAAAATAAGATACTCTTTCGGTATTTTAAAAGCAAAAGACATAGCATATTTTTCTATTTTCAAACTCAAAATATAGATGTTCTTGAAATTATTTAATAGGCCAATGCCCACGTCAGCCTCACATACTGCACAGTATAGTAAGAAAAGAGCAAATTAAATTTAACTATTTTTAACACAAAACTGTGTTTTTCCTACCGCATGCAGAGCAATATCGTTTGGTTCAGATATCCACAGGCCACACGCGTATTTCATGACCTTGTCCAAAATTGTTGCAGGGCCCCTTTGGACTTCTCCAATGGCTGACAATTACACTAACAGGCCAACACAAACAGAAATTCCTGAGATTTTGAATTCTGTGCAGCATCTTTGCTCAACATTTGTTTGTGCTTCAGACACGGAAAAGACGCCATGTTCTTAAAAAACAACCCAATATAAACAGTTACCGTACCTTGGAAGTATTCTCTTCGGGAGAATGCAGCTTGATAAAAGCAAGGCCATACTGGATACTCTGCAAGAACAGGTGAAATACAAGGCAATGTTAAGCCCAGCATGTGAGTGACAGGCAAGTCAGTACAATGCAGCGATCCCTTCCACTTGATTACAATCCCATTTCATTCAATTGGTATCAGTGAATATGAGAACTATACTTTAATAACTGACAAAACGGCAATGTAACTTGCTTACAATCCTGTTCCATCTCATAACAAGGATTACCTCATGCACAAAATTATTTCCCTGTAGTCACACCATAAATGACAATGAGTGCTCTTTAAAAGTACTGTTCACTAAAATTTAACCCTTTATTGCCGGGTGTCGCCAACTCAGTTCTTTATTTTTCGTTCTTTTTTTGCCTGAGTGACCAAAATTCAATCTTCTATAAAATTTATTTGGTGCGCACACATCTAAGAAGTTGCGCACAACACGTTACATTATTCTGAGGTGCACTTTTTGTTGCACGATTCCTCACTTTCGCGGTACATCGCAAATTCAGGACATTCGGCATTTGAGACAGTAACTGGTAACTGCCGGTACGACACGTTCGTGTTTTATTCATTGATGGGTGATGGACGTCCACTCAATTCATTGAAAAATAGGGCATCGCACGCGCTTGCCACCAGATGATAAAATGTACAATAGCTGTCTTGAGAGCAACGACGACGATATTGATCCTCATGCACAAGCACCAGTGCCTCTATCAAGCGGCGAAGATGAAGATGCGGTACATGAACCAAGTGCATGTTTAAAACATAAAGTGCGATGAAAAAAAGAGACTGTCAAGAACCGCAGACAATTCCACATTGGAAAGCTGCTCTTCCTTAGTCTGACACTGTCCGAGGTCCTATTAAATATATTTAGGAATTTTCAGTGTTGCCTTCATGGGTCACAGTGTTGAGCAGAGAAATCTTTTTGCAAAACAGAAAAATCCTAACAAAGGACTGGCTCCGCCTCGTGACAATCCAGATCGATTTCTTGACACGTTCACTTTTATGTCACTATCGAAGTAGTCTGCTATAACAGGAGGCATAGTCTATGTTTCCCACGCTACAATCACCGACATGACGTCACATGATCGTAGAGGAAACAACCTAGCCAAACTTGCATTTCAACAAATGATTACAAGTCATCGCCCGATGACTCAAGCAGGGATTGTCCTTTCAAGGTTCGACCTTGAACATATCTCTGTATTGAGCCACATACTGGTAAGTGCCTGTTATAAGGAATTCGCAACATACCTAAAAATATGCATTAAAATCGTATTTTGGACAATTTAACTGCTGAGTTAAGTAAAAGTTCATATTTAATGCTAAAGAATGAAAAACAAGTTTTTTTCTTGGGCGGCGTCATAATTCAAGCACTAAAGGGTTGAATGTGACTGCAGAATTTCATAGTTAATTTATTCAAGCATACTCAGGTGTACATATACTCAGACTAATTAAAGGCAGACAGTTACACTACATACGGGCAACATTTAGGGACACTAAAGCATCATTAGGTTAGGCAGTAAATAGAGAGTTTTAGTACTGCGTACGTGGCAGCGTTGCGTACGTAAGGACGCCACGTTCTGCGTAGTGCGCATGCGCAGACCGCGACGCGCACGTATCGCATTACGTACGCAGCCGCTACGTACGCACGCATGAGATGCGTGCGTGCGTACGTATGAGGTGATCGCGCCACTCTCGAACAAGTTCGCGACAGCGCGAGACTTCGTTTTACAGAATGGCGGCATCGAAGGCAAGCACCGACCGGCTCTGTGGCTTAAAATATGGCCATAATCTGGCTATAACACTTCAATTGGCTCACATTGGCTGTCAACAACACGTGCTTCTATTTTGATCTACCAGATGGTGCAACACGCTTCTCGCTCGTTACGTACGTGGGTACTACGGCGTACTAAAAGACGATTAGTGGCAAACGACGCCACGTAACGCAAGGCGCTTGCGTGATGCGTACGTAGCACGATTCCGCAGTACTATAACTCTCTAATGCCGTACGCCTACATGTCAAACAAAAAAAAGCATATAAAATTATGAACAGTCAAGCCAAACAAGTGAAAATGAGATGTGAAAACTAATATAGGGTGACACTTTGTCAAAACTACTTCTACCTGCTGCTAGCAATAACAGTGCACATATAATGCTTCAAAAGTGAAAAACTAAGACAGGGCAAAGAGTACCAATATACTATAGTGTGCAGTGGTCCCCAAGATCGGGGTTTGTGAAACCATTTTTTGGTGTCCTTGAAGCTCATAATAATGTCCAATGACAAAATAATGTCCAATGACAGCAGCCCCCTCTAAATTTATGGTATGCTTCACTGCATGACACTTTTCCATTGCATCAGAGCTGATTTGTGCTCCCTCTACACTAATGAAGTAAGCTGTAAAGCTTTCGTTGCAGCCCTCTATGACATACGTATGCGAGCATGCTCTTTCTGGGCTTCTATATCCGAAGCACAAAGATAGCTAGAAATAGATTGAGTGTGGCCGCGGACCACAAACCTTACTGACAAGCTGTTGAGATGGAAATAGTGTAGCACTTGAGAGCGACCATTCTTTACAAGGTAGAAATACAAGAAGGCACCTATTTCACGATTCACATTGTGTTAACTTATGACCCTCACCCACCCCCCCCTTTTTTTTCATGACTGAAAGGGGTTTCTCATCTCAATCCCCAGTCCACAATTCCACAATGGGTCCCTGAAACATCAGTGGCTCAGAACCACTGGTATAGTGGATCTGTTTTAAAAAAGTGCCCTGCAGTAAATAACAAAACGGAGGAAAGGAATGGAAAAAACGAAGTCGGCACAGGTGTCCATGGTTATGCCGTCTGTTGCAGTCCCTGCTTTAAACCCAAACTTGAAACTGCTTGTATGTTTTATAAATAAATAGCCAGAGGGTATTTCTTTGATTCGACAGATTATTTTGATAACCTGTCCCGTCACATGCAAGATTTTACAGCTGGACTGCTCCAAAAGACAAGTGCGACATTCCAAAAAATCAGTTTACATCATGAGGTACAGTAAAATCTTGTTAATTCGAACTTCGCGGGGCTGGAAAAAAATGTCCAAATTAACCAAATGCCAAGTTACTGAAAGAATTAAGAAAACCACAATAATGTGCATTACATCAATACACTTTCATTTGCTTGATGAATAGGTAATTATTGGATTCATTTTGCATAAGAGCGGTGTAAAAGCAGCAATATTCATCATCCTGTGATTTCATTGAGTGGGCAAGCACAGTGTAAGACTCCCATGCTTGATTATCCTGAAACTCTGCTACCCCTCTTTACACACCATCACCATCGCGCACACGCGATAATAGTTCTTTCCCGGGTAGAATGGCCATAAACTGATTATTCGTCCGTCGCAATGCAGAAAGAGTTTTATGCCAGCACGCTGCCCTCAGCTGACAGCTCTTCATCTCCAACAGCTTTCGCCAGGTTTGTGTTTTGAGACACTGCATGCACACTGCAGAGATGAAACAAAGCTGCTGAGTGCCGGATCCGCAGGTGCACGAAACCATGGTGCCCAACCCAATATAGATAGCAGTGCAGACAGCGCTGCTTCATTGGTAGACTGTGAAGGGCGTTCTTGCTTTTTTTTTGCATCGTACAACTCCAGTGCCTTGCACTCGGTGCACTCTAAGGATCGTCTGAATCAGCAAAGTTGTGGCCATGTATGACTGAATTAACGAGAGTTTTATGTTAATAAACATTGCATATGCTTGCTGGAATCAGAGAACACATCCAAATTATCCAATTCTCCAAATCAAAGAGATTTCCCTGCAATTACCAAAAATCAAGTAACTACATCCTAAGCTAATTATTTCATGGGAAATTACTTCATGTCACTTGTGAGTTCCGAGGGATGCCTTAGCACGAGTCCAAAAGCCAGGCACCAGTTCTGCAATATGCTTCGCCAAAATTTTCAAAAATGTAGAGCGGTGTTTCGGTTCTTGAAGCTAAATGCACAAAAACAGTATTTTCAATAAAAATGGAATAACAGTGTATTCTTTACTATTTGTTTGAATTGTTTATTCTGAAATTTCAGTTATTTTCCAAATTTATACCAGGTATGTCTTCTGAACCAGCTGGCTTCAACTGCTAAATTGTGGTACGTTCCCTGAGGTTCAAATGCCGCTTAACAACAAATTCAGTTGATTCGTCAACTGTGTGTAATGTTTTTTGTGCGTGTGTGTGAGTAATGTCTGCCTTTTCAAACAATTGCACCAAATAAGCATACATTAAATAAAAAAGTCTGAATTAAAAAACAACACAGTACAGTGCACACGGACTAAAAAGTGCAATCGACACTTTTAATATAGCCATTGTACACACTACTGCTCAAGCTTACTGCATTACGTAGATACCAATCTGGCTGTTTAAGACAGCATTGGGTCTGATGTAAATGCCCAAGTCAAAATCACAGCGACATGACAAAAACTAAAGAATATGGAAACAAATGTGTGTGCATCACTGAGCCCAGAATGTTCACGTTTCCCTCCATGAGCACCGTACAGACACAAAACTGTCCATCGCTAGCTAAGGACCATATGGCGCAACAATGAATCGGACTCAAACGTACCTTGTTAAAAGGTTGCGTGCATACAATCTTAATACGGTCCCACTTCTCTTTGACAAAAGACTGAGACAGCTTTTCTGCACCGAACATGCGAACCCGGTTTAAGTTTGTCCCTTGGCGGGCGTCCATCGGTGTCATGAAAGACGAAGCAACGAGGAGAACCTGCGTACAAAGAGGAAGCTCTGTTTAGTAAGCATTCAATGCAAATCTTTGGTTAAAGTGTCTCATGCCAGGGTTTGATGTCACAAACAAACAAAAGTACACAACCATCTTTCAGTTGAGATAGCATATGCAAAGCACGATATAATTGCACAGCATAAAAACTGTCCATCCAGATGGCGCCTCACTACTTACGACGCATATATAAAATTTACAGTGGGCTCTGATGAGTGTCCCTTGCGGGTTCACGGTCTGTATCGCTTCCTTTTGCAACTGGAAAATATGGCTCACATCTTGCAAGAAGCCCTTGTTTGTAATTACAGCTTGAGATAATATAAGGGTATATCAATAGCGATGAACTACTGCATTTCTCTGTTATCACTAGCACCATTGCTTGCGACTTTTTTGCTTATCCTGTCTGGTTGATTACAGTGCATGGAAATGTTACCTCTGGTCTGAGATAATACAAGAGATAATCTCTTTTTTTTTTGAAAAAAGGAGTCGGTGATCAATGCCCATATGTGTCAACTCATTGCATTTTGTATTGCACTTGTCCTGTTGCATTGTTATAATGAAGGCTACATATTTAATATCGTTTCACATACACCAAGTCCCCTTCCATTGTCCAACATTCTCCTAGTCACGGAATGGCAAACTCGTTCAGACTCGGCTGAAGCCACGAGTCTGGGTAAGTAATATTTTGCAGCCAGTTTGAGTTCAGGTAAGTTTAATTGCAAAAAAGTTTAGAGACTCTAGAGTTCGAGTGAGTCTAGCAGAAAAAAATTTCGGTGACTCCGAGTGAGCTCCACACTTTTTGCCAACCCATCAGCCTACCTGCTCAACTTCAGCATTACTATGAGCCTTATGTCGGCTCACGTATATGCACCCGTCTACTCGCACATACTCCAATACACTGGTGTTCATCTGTCAACTATTTATAGACCGGATGCTTGAGTCATAGAAAAGGGGGAAAGAAGTGCCTTGTGTATGCCTTTTTTCATTCAAAAACTTTTTCACGGGAAGATCTTGATCAGTATTTCATGTGAGTCACCTCTCTCAATAAAAATGACCTTACTTGTAACCATAAATGACTTGTATTTGAAATTGCGCACTAAAATGGTGCCAATTAGAGCACCGATTATGCGAGATATTGGTGCTACAAAGCATTGAAACCATGGTAGAAGACGCTAATTATACGCTAACGGACAACTCACTCACACTGACATCGAGCCGTGAGTGAGCCAATGTGACTAATACTTTTGTGAGCGTGAGTCCGAGTGATTCCGGCTGAGGAAATGTTTGGCAAGTCTGAGCGTGCCCTAGGGGCAAAATATACCTCATGAGTAGGTGTCACCATTTCGCCGCCCTATGCTTCTAGTACAGGCAAACCTAGCAATTTAGAGTTTGCGATATGATAAGTTAAATTAAATATAAACCACCACATCACCTTTATCATGCAGAAAGGTTTTGCTCTGTTCCATCGTAAGGAGGCTCTGTTGCCAAATGATGGCAGGAATGTTAAAAACAAAACAATATACCTGGTACAAGAGCACGAAAAGTCCTACATCCTTTAAGACACAGAAATTGGTAACACTTTCGTCAGCGTACGTGGTAATCTTGCCCAGGGTCTGACGACCTGGAGACGAGGACTTCTATGAACGCGGAGCTTTCATTTCCGATGTCGATGGAAGAAATCACGGACGCTTTTTCCAACTGCAAAATCACAGAGGCTTGTTTTTCTCCCGGTGTAGCGCATTTCCACTTTCTGTACGTTTCAGGCTTCAGGAGGTTTTCTGCTTTGTGTACCTGTGTAAGCAAGAAAAGTAAGGGCACGGTAGCCGTGAGATACTACATCGTTTCCAGCACTCGGGTGAGTGCCTTACTAATTTGAAACCAAGCTGAGCTAACTTTCTTTAAAGTGGCAGCAGTTGGCACTAATTTAAGAACGCAATACCTTGTCCTCACTGCTGAATGAGACGACGTGCTGTATCTTCAAAACGGGCATGACAAAATTGACTCGAGTTTCTGTGTCACACGTGTATCCCTTCAGAAACGCGCGCAACGTTGTTTACAAACAGAAATACTGATTCAGTCGTTGCTTCCAAGCAAGTTTGTTTTGTTTAAAAAAAGTTACTACCTAACAACGTTTTAATAAATATAACGCAACACTTTGTGCCCGTGTAATGTTCTTTTGCGTTATATTTTTTAGTAATTATGAAAGTTTTACGCTATGTTGATACGCATCCGCGCGCACACTGCATGCGCATTAGACATCATGGCTGCTTCCAGTAAAAATGCATTTGTCAAGATGCCAGTGAAATTTTCAAGCGACAGCCGTTCTTCTCACGTAATGCTCTTCAAAAAACACAGTGTACGCGAAAAGAGTGAACACAAGCCATCAGGGAGGACACTGTTTGTCGTCAACGTGCCCCCGTACTGTGACGAAGACAGCCTGAAGCGCATCTTCGGCGACTGCGGTAAGGTCTCCAAAGTGTGGCTGCAGAAATCTCCTTCTTCGGGCAAGCCCGCCGAAAATGTGTCGTCATTCTTTCCCAGCGTGCCTCCAGTGACGGGCTTCAAAGTCGCGTACGTAGTGTTCCACAAAGAAGCGGCCGTGGGGCGAGCGCTAGCCCTGTCACTGTCGGAACCACGTGTGCTGCACCACGAAGACTGCAACGATGTCGTCGGTGTGGCCAAGTGGTGCGCCCAGTACAAGTCGACGTTCGTGGACGCCGAGAAAGTGCAGAAGGAAGTGGACACCTACATGGCGGATTACGACGCTCGCCTGGAAGAAGAAAAGCAGCGAGCCAAAGCGATGGACGGAGTTCCCGATGAAGACGGCTGGATCACCGTTACCAAGTACGGCAAGCGGCCGGTCATACCGCGTACCGACGCCGTCAGCCAGAAGATTTCCAGCGCCGAAAAGAAGAAGCGCTCCCAGAAGGAGCTTGTCAACTTTTACTCCTTCCAAATTCGAGAGTCTAAAATGGAAAAGATTGCCCAGCTTCGAAAGAAGTTCGAAGAGGATAAGCGAAAAATTTCGCTTATGAAAGCATCTAGGCGGTTTAGACCCGTGTAGTCTTCGTGAACTGCTCTGACAGTGTTTGCCGACGTGTCTTTAAGTACTGCCACTGCTAAAAATCTGAAGATTGCCCCATGTGAATGCGTACATTTGTTTTTTTATGTAAAATAAAAAGCTCGTTGCAATGTCGTATGTATGTGTCCGCTTAACCGGCAACGTTGTTGAACGGGTAGTCTTTCTATGTATTTGAAGACAATCATTAAAAACAGCCATATGTCCTAGTTAACGTAGGTAGACGTAAACGGCACCCCACGTTATTTATTATTTGCAAATCTCCTAGACATGACTTAAAATTTCACGTGTTGTACACATCAAATGAACCATATGGCATTTAATCTTGGTTTACGGGGATCATAGCCCATTTGCAGCGGCTGCACAGAACACTTACCAGTGGCAGCTGCATTTTCGGTAAAGGCGAGAATGCTGTAGGCCCATATGCTCGAATTTGGGTGTACGTTAAAACCCCTGATGATCTAAATTTCCGGAGCCCTCTACTACGGCATCTCTCATAGTTATACGGTAGTTTTGGGGCGTTAAACCCCACATATCAATCAATTAATTTTGGTCAAAATGAGAACCCCTCCATGTCTTATCGACGGAAGTACCACTTTGCCATGAGAACTTTAGCTAATCTCTGTGTTCACATTTGATGTCCTCCTTTATCGTATTGAGCATGGTCACTCATGAGCTACATACTGTAATCGATACAAAAACATTAACAAGTGACAAAGCCTGCTTCCACCATGACACATAATTTATTTGATGCATTCATGAGTAAGATGTAACTGGTGATCATGTTTTACAGGCGTATAAACAATGAGCACGAAGTGACACATAAACGAGAAAGGACATGTGCTCGCAGATATATTTGAGAATTTATTCTCACTCTTGTCTCCACCTAACGTTGTGTTTGTCGCTATATATATATATATAGCGACTTGCATACATGCCCAGACACAGGGAAAACGTGCAAGAAATAGTGCTGCTGAATGTACATTCGACCGAGTTCACTAAATTTCCTATGTTACCTAAATCTCCTAGCCTTACTTCATATAACAGTTTGATGTGTTGCTATCGGAATCATTGTCTCAGCTTGTGCCGAAACTATGCCTTTTTTAAAATCGCATCTCTCCTTGAATGTCATTGTCGCATTAAGATAGTGCCACCATGGGATTACCACAATGGAGTGTTATTCTGATTTACCACCTTTATGGTACCAACATTATCTTTGAAAACTGCAAGTTATTGCAATGCTCATCAAGAAAATGTTTGCTTTCATAGAATGCCTTGCAGGCTGCAACTTTTATTTTCACTTTAGACCATGCAACTTTAGTACACACAGCACACCTATTGCATAGCCTTGCAGGTGCACTAAATTATGATGCCTAACATTGTCCAGATTTAGAAGATGCTTAGCTAGCTGATCAGTATACAAATTCCGGGATTCTTCAGAAGATGTCATCGGAACAGAAAAAATTACTTTTTTATATTGTGTAGTAATTATTGGATAATATAAATGAAACATTATTACAAGAAGTATATTTGTATGTCCAAAAAAACGGTAGGAGGGGGAAGATGAAAGCTTGCGATGAAAAATCTGTATAAACAGGGGTTCTGTCGAGCCGACGTTTCGACAGGCGGACTTGTCATTCTCAAGGCTAAAACAGAGCTGATTTTTTAAGCGCTGGCATGTCTACGTTTCATACCCTCTCCTCCAACCTAACAAAGGAGAGGGAGGGGCCACATTGGATACAGGGGTGTTTGATAGTGAAGGAGGGGGTGTGCTGTGACATTGTATGAGTGAAGAAGGAACAGGTATTCAGTGAAAAAAAATCACAGCATATCCACGGAGTGAATGATAATGAGTGGGGCGAAGCGTCCATGAGCCCATCCGTGCTTCCATCCATCCATGTGTCTGTCTGTCTGTCTGTCCATCCGTGCGTCCATCTAGTAAACACTCCAAGTACCGCCATCTCCCATCTCACAACCCCCGTGGCACATACCCACTCTAGAGCGGGTATATGCCACCAGTGGCTACATACATACATGCATTCAAAGGATGGACAGACCAACGCCATAGAGAGCTTTGCCCCTAAAAAAAAAAAAGAAAGGGATGTGGAGGTGAGGAAGTACATGTGTCCCGGTTGTGAAACCGGTTGTCAGAAGTTAACAATGGCAGGTTTGAAATTCCTAGACAGAGGGCTTAACTAGCATTGGTTTTCTTTGTGTATGTACCATATTGAATTGAATCAAGAGTTCCTTTATAAATGTTTATACCTACTGGCTGGAGTGTATTCAACTTGTAAATAAGGTATGACTTTGTATATTTCCTGTCGCTTCTGGACTGGAAGTTTGTCCGAAGAATGTATAGTTTGAGATCATTGAAGTTGTTCTGCTACAATAAAATACTGTGCCACTCACTGCTTTCAGTAATTTTTTTACCATGTCCACGCGATGACCGTTCAATCTAACACTAACAGGCTGTGCTGTTTCTCCAATGTGCTTTTTATGACATGAACATTCGATCATGTAGATAACGTTTTCACTAGTGCAGGCAAAACTAGATTTTATATGATGGACATAATCACTCCCGGTGCTTTTAACTACCATGTCATCTTGAAGGTGTTACTTGGACTGTAGAATACAGGATTTTACTTTTGCATGCACTAACATGTCCTTAAAGTTCCTGTTGCCGTGATACACGACCTTTGGTCCTTCGGGAAATGCTTTTCTAAGGTGTTCGTTGCTTGCCAATGTTGTGTACTACTTACGGAAGGTAATATTTATGTTTTGGAGTGCATTGGAGTATTTGGTTATAAATGCTGGCAGCTGGTTGGGTTGTGCTACGGGGTTTTTTTTTAGCTAGTGTTGTTTTCCTATCTAGTTTACATGCTTCGTTGTAGACCTTGTTTAGGGTGTCTTGTGGGTAATTTCTTTCAACTGTTTTCTTTAGGTTACTTGAGTAATGGACGTATTCACCGTCGTCACTACAGATTCTTATTATACGCCTCGCTTGTCTGACGGAAAATTTCTTGCTTACAGTGCCGCGGTTGATGACTAGTGTAATCCAGGTATTGTTGGTTGTCCGTCGGTTTTCTGTAAAGCGTCTTGAATTTTTCTGCTTCAATAGACACTGTCCTGTCCAGGAAGGTAATTTCATTGGGAGAATGGTGCCTAGTAAATTTAATACTAGAGTGAAACTTGTTACAGTGATTAATGAATGCACTTAGTGCGCTTATGCCATGTTCCTACATAATAAATATGTCGACTATGTAGCGGAGGTAGGTAGAAGGCTTTACTAGAGATTATTTCAACAGATTTAATTCAGGCTGTCCCATAAAGATGTTGCTGTACGTTGGCACAAAACGGGTTTCCATACTAGTGCCTAGACATAGTAGGTGAAATCAAATTCAAAGTAATCAAGCATCAGTACTAATTCAAGTTACGAGAGATAAACGTCAGCATTGTGTGTCAGCTTTCTTTCTATGAGGGGCTTTGACACCACTTCAATTCCTTCAGTTATAGGTATATTCGTATACAAAGAGCATATATCTAATGTTAACAGAATGGCCTGATCCAAAAGTTTGTGTTTCATTATTGTTATCTATTATTCAGAAGAAATGAGGTGTATCCTGAACAAAGGACGGTAGGATGGGTGATATGTTTGATAGATGACGAAATGAGGTGTATCCTGAACAAAGGACGGTAGGATGGGTGATATGTTTGATAGATGACGATGTAGAAATTTTGATAGCAATTCAGTCGGTGTATTGTTGTGGGAAACTATAGGTCTGCCTGGGATTTTCGCGGCAAGTAGTTCGTCAATGGAAACCTTATGAATCTTTGAAAGGAGGTAAAGGCGACCTGCTTGCTTATTTTTGGGCATGAGGAACCGGCGCTCGGAGGGTGTGATCGATTCCCGGGCTAGAAAATGTGCTTTGATGTGTTTAATGGTATTACTATATTCTTAAGTTAGGTCCGAGGCGAATTTTCGATAGTGAGTGTGGTTGCTGAGTTGTCTGATAGCTTCGTTTTCATATTTTTCTATATGCCTGATTACTATAGCATGGAGGAAGAGTTGTAAGAATTAGGGCCAAAAGTGAGTTAAAGTAGGATTCATAGAGGCTTTCCTTATTAGTTGTCACTGCATTTAAAAAAAATGCTTCGTGGACAAACCATACAAACAGCTACATCAACTGCTGCTTTACACTTTCCCACAATATCTCAGTGCTGTCCAGATAAGTGGAACCTCGCGTCTCCACAAGTGCCGCGCCGGCCTTACAATGACGGGGAAGACTTGTGCACAGTTTTTAATGCAGATCATTACTAATAAACATATAGCACATTCATCTACTGTGATGGGACACCGGGGCTGTATACATAACTATCAGCTTTGGGGCGATTTCTATGTGCACAACATTACCTGAGGTGAGACAGAAGCGTAAAGGAGAGTGACACAGGTCTCAACTTGCACTACTGGTTTATCGCAGGCACACACCACTTCGATCATACACATCAACACCTACAAGTGACAATACTTTTGTAGCGTCATGGCTAAAAATCCTACTACAAAACTAATATATCAAATCCTGTAGGCATAACTTCAAACAGGACAGGAGCTTAGGGGAAGATAGAAGCTTGAAGTGAAGAAAAATGGTTATACAGGGAATGTCACTGGCACTCAGCGGCATTCTCTGTACTTGTTGTTGAAGCTACCTTCATAATCAGTTAGCGCTTTGATGCAACTGCCTTAACTTCTAAGTGGCATTTCCAGCTATGCAGACTGACCAGAAGAGTGAAAATAAATACGTGAAGCAAGGTCACTGCAGAGGATAGAAACAATGAACGACAAAAGTTATAAATATGAAATCTGCCGCTTTATTCACAACTGCTGAAGCGGCTTTTGCTGCCTCGAGCGACAATATGTACCTTAATATGGCTACTGAAATTCGAATATCTTCATGTGACAGTCTGCACCACCGCTTATCATGTATTTCTGGAGCGACCAGTCGACGGCGAGCACCTTGTCCTCGTGGCCCGTCATGTCATACAGCGGCGCCTTGGGGCTGCGCACGTCCCAGTGCTTCATGAAACCGTCGTAGGATCCGGAAACGAAGTGGTGAGCCGATTCCGGGGCCCAGTGTACCGATGACACCCAGCCGAAGTGAGAAGAATAGGTGCACGTGACCATAGCTCCGTCCTTCGACCTGACGTCCCAGAGGCGAATGTGCCTGTCCGTATGGGCCGAAATGATCTGGTTGTTCGTCCTGGAATGTGCGATATCTAGGAACGCCTTGGAGCCCACTAGCTGCGACTTCATGCCGCCCAAGTCGACGTCCCAAAGCCGCAGGGTATGGTCCATAGAGCAAGTCGCGACCTCCTTGTCGTCAGTCCACTGAACTCCCGTGATAGCTTCGTGGTGTCCGGACAGCGTCAACACGGGAACCCTCGTCTTCGCCTTGCCGTCGATGGTCTTCTGCTTCTTTCTGCTGCTCTCGGACTCGTCGTTCGCTTGGTCGTACTGCGTGCTGTTGGGATCGGCGCTCCACACTTTCAGCATCTGGTCGTAGGAGCCGGTAGCGAAGTAACTCTTGTCCCAGCTAACGTCCACGCATTCGACGCTCCTCGCATGACCCCGGCAGATCTGAACCGACTCGACGGCGTTCTTATCCCTGTCCCACTGCCACAACATCGCCGTCTCGTCGAGAGAGGCGCTCACGAAGGTGCACAGGGGTTCCCCAACGGAGACCCACTTCACTGACTTGATTGGTCCCACGTGGCCCGGTATCAGAAGTTTTCGCGTGCCGTCGTGATCCCAGATGTGCAAGCTGTTGTCGTAGCAACCGGAGAGAATGCCGGCGTCCGAGGTGTGGACGGCGCTCACCCAGTCGTCGTGAACGAGCGTATCAACGGGCAGCGGAGGGGGACACTTTTCTACGTACTCGACAAGAACAATGTTCTCCTGTTGTATCTTGTGTGCTTCCAGGTGTTCTTGCAGGGTTTCTCGCAGCAATTCACCATCGATCAAGAAGTCGAAAGTTGGCTCGCCATCGCTCTCGGCGTCGCCCGACGAAGACTCCCGCAGAAGAGTGTTAATCAGGGAGGACAACTGTTCCGATGTCGCGCTCCCGGATATTGAGAACGGGGTGTCGGGCACCGAGTACCGTTCATCCTTGGTGAAGAATTTCGCCTGAATCTGAGCGTTTTCATCCATCTTCGAGCAACACAGCCGGCATGCGCACGCCTTGCGACTCTTGCACGTGATGGCGATTGCACTGGTGACTTTGAGGCAGCGAGACCAACTGCCTCGGGAAAATACGACCTGCTCTGCAGCAAGTCATCTCAACATGCCCGATCAAATTTTTAAACACCTGGGTTTAGAAAAATTGTTTATCATTGTTCCCTAGTTACAGTAGTTTTAAGAGAAGCACTCACGGCGAGAATAAATTTGCGATCAACAGCACACGTTAGTGCATTGCGAAGGTAGCGGTAGCAACACTGACATTTCTTTTTCGGGTATTGTTTTTTCTTTTGTAGGTGTTTTGACTAAAAAGGAATTCGGTAAGTGGTAACTCCGTGTGGGAAGATATATTATTCTTGTGCGTTGCTTCGCTGTGAAGCTGTGCGGCGCAAGTTTATTTGAGTGGCCGTGGTGTTGATCCGCTTCGCCGCGGCTGTGTGGTGAACTGGACGACGGAGAAAAGAATGTCCCCTAGGTAGCACAGGGTGGGATGCGATCATGCCATTTTTTTTTTTCTTGTTAGTGTTCTGGTGCGTGTGTATCACAGGTGCATGTTTCTTCTGCGAGGCACAAACGGCGAGTTTGTAGCCCGAAAGCAGAGAGTAATCGTGCGGCTTCATTCACGATCTAACCGTTGCCGGTCTTTTTTTTTTTTTTTTTTTTTTCCTCCCTCCTCCCGCAACGCCCGGCTCCCCAAGGTTTCTTAAATGCCCGTCGCCGGAAACTACATATTTCGGCTATATGAATTTCTCTTCGCGGGAATCGCTTGTATTCTGAAGCAGTTCGATGTCATGTCTGGTAAGGCGAGCCCTTCAGGCAAGATCTCTGACGTTCTTACTGAATCATATTCTCTTCTCTCCTCTGCACAGTTCGATTGCCGTTGTAGACGTTCACGCAACGAAGTCGCATCTGCTGAAGACAACGGCACAAATGACGAGTCACTGTACCAACACCTGGTGCGTTTTCATACTTCTGCTTTGCCGATTACCTAGCTTGAACCGACTCTTACGCACAAGCGAGTACGCTAATCCGCGAAACTTTATTCCGCGTGCCAGTTACTCGTGTTGTGAATGGGAAAAAAGTTGTATGAGCAAACGAATTGTGGTTCTGCCAAACAATTTACGTGTTGCGTGTAGATAAAGGAAAGATCGTCTTTACTGTTATGTACTTGGACAGTAGTTGGTGCTTATGCCTAAGAAACCAATCTTGCTCGACAGCCGTAGTACTGTTTGCAAATTGCAAAGGCTTTAAAACAGTACCCTTTTGTGTGTGCGTTTAAAGGACCGAGTACGCTTCTTTTAACATCTCCTCGGCTTCCCTTCTTGTATTGCAACTTGTTTGCATGATGCAGTTGCGCCTCTTTCAAAAGCCTGCTTTGTAGACCCTTTCACGGCACTGTTGCATTTGGCTAATCGCTGAGCACTTAACATTCTTGCTTATTACATATGATGGGTCATTCATCATACGAGGAGGAGAATCAGCACTTGAATGTACTCTTTTAGACAATTAGATTCTCTGACAATTTATCTGGTAGCCAATTGTAGAATATGCCTCGAAGTTGCGTTGACATTCATGAAACTTGAGCAGCAGGTTCATTCGATCAGAAATGCCAAGCATAGTTTTATGCAGCCTCATTGACTGCGTAGTCCACAAATCAAACAGTGCCTTCACTTTGAATACTTGCACTTTTTTGTTGTCGTTGTTTTCCGGCATATATTTTCCACTTTTGATTGTTGCGGCACCGTGCAGCATATTGGACTGTAACTTGAGCACATGTTGACATATGCAAATGATGAGTGCAGCATTGAGTTTTAGTGTGGCGTTCCCATTTTCCACTCTGTATCTCTTCCCTCTCTTGTTTGCCTCAGTGTCGCTCAAGCCTGCTGTTCTCCTTCGCCTTTAAGTTCTTGTAAGTTTCGCACTGCTTCTCTTTTTGCCCGTTTTTGTGGTCTCTTTCTTTTTGCAGTTTTCAATAGTTCTTGCCTGCTTCAAGCGGTGTTTAGGTTCAAGAGCTGCCATCCATCTATGCATTGCTTGTAGCTAACTTGCTTTACATGCATCACACACAAAGCACAGGCCATATTCTTATGCATTCATGATTTTTTTTTTCACTATATTTTTAAGCACATAAAGGCCAATTTAAACGTTTTCTTCAACAGAGGTTTGTCTAGCTGTGCATAAAGAATTCCAGGTGCAGCAATAGGTCAACAGTGAGAAATAAAAAGAAAAACAAGAAGTAGATGGATCGTAGGCGTTTTGCAACAAAACACTCATTTCTCATTTATGTGTGTTCATTCGAGCAACACAGCTTGGTGTGTATCAGATATTACCATTATGGAATGGCCACTATTCTCAAATACAAAAAAGAAAGTAAGAGGCATATCTTTAATTTAAATTCCTGCTGTTTTATCATCTTTATCTGATAACCTGATGACTTTGGCAGCCATAGTTACTTGTGCAGCCACCATAAATGGATGTCCTAGCAGAAACAGTGTGATCTGAATGCCTGTATTGTGTAAATGAGCATTTCATGGTTATAGACCTACGTTTTTGAGGCTAAATTAAATCTGCTATTACTAATGTGAGCAAGCATCAAAAGGAAGCAGTATGCTTTAGTCGTTCACATGTTCTTCAAGCTTGGATATTAGTGACCTTACCTACTGCGAGAAAATTCACACTGCTAGATAACTCAAATGTGTTTTGACCAAACACAATTTCATAGGCACTACAGCCATAATCAGGTTAACACTATTGCGCCTATACCAGGATGAAACACATCACAGCGCATCATTGTTCTGCCCATCAAGAGTATGAGCTATAGTGAACTAGAACCAGCATCCTAGTGGTGCGAACGGAGGCGCTCTGCAATGGAGCGGCTGAGGCAGAATGCGTTTCCTCGCCCCAGAGGCCACGGCTGCGCCTTGCCTTATCGCTACACTTTTTTTTTCTTGTTTTCTTTTTTTTAAAAGGGTGGGGGGGGGGGGGGCAGAGGTTAGCACTGGAGTGGTGAGATGGTGTCTTTTCTGGTGAGTCGGTGTCTCCTCAGCATCCTGAAGTATGGCAGCCGCCCCGTACTAGACACCGCTATATTTATCTAAAAAAAAAACAAAAAAAATTCTGTTTCACTACAGACGCCACAGAGGTGCGGCTAGTCTAGTACACTCTAACACCATACGTCCTGATCCGAAACCAAAAAAAAATTGCACCTCCACGCACCTTGATTTAGTAGTGTGCGTCGCCGTGAGGCTGTGTTGTCAGAAGGACCCTCTGGCTTACTAACTCGTATTTTTGCATGGTTCTCCACGAAGCTGTAGTGAAAATCTCTTCGCGTGTGTCCTCCCATGCAGGCGCTGTTGAAGCTAATCGAAGTGAACGGCATGCATGTTCTCTGTATTAAATACATGTTGGCCATCTGTAGCAACTCTGCGCATGTAGCCTTCAAGCCATCGTAATGGCAGGCTGCGTCCACATAGCTGTAGCAGATGCTCAACTAAAACAGTTTCCTACTGACGCGATGAAACGTGCAAGAGTGAATGCAGCAACAGCAATGACAGCATAGATGTCACTAGGGAAGGGTGCAGTGACGCCACCTGGATTTTTCTGTGCCGAATGGCATGCCCGAACCTTCCTGTTCACACCACTAGGATGTCGGTTTTAGTTCACTAGAGTGTGAGCTTTGCGCATGTTGTGAGTTGCTGCAGTTGTACATTTTGTTGACATTATGTCCTGAAACTGAAAAGAGCATCAGGCTGTGATTTCGTTGACAAGTACTAATGTCGCTAAACAGTTTTATGGCAACTGCAGTGAGAGGCCGTGAATGGTGGTACACTTCATCTTTACTTGGCACATCAGTGAGTGCTGAGCCTTATCTGACGTAGGGTCAAGTAGCAGATAAAGAAAAGGAGCTCTGAGGCTGGTCGTAGAGTAAATAGTGGCACCAAGCTCATCAAGAAATGTACGCACGCTAAAAGCAAATTGTCTCAAACTTGTGGCGGTCCGCACTAGATGACGAACTGCACACGTGGAAGCGGCTTTTCATTACTAGTGACGTGTTTGTGCTAACGAGTTGGGTTGTTGCATTTTGTGGTTACCATTTGGTAGAGTCAGTTATTCTTGCTCACACTGTATAAGGCAATAGTGGAAATGATTGTGAAAATTTAACAGTTTGCATGTCAAGCTCCACGATTGAAGTTGTATCAAATGCAGAGCCCGAAATGCTCAAGTCGCAAACACTATGCTGCCTGTATGTTTCTAATGCCCGTTCTGTTTTCTTCTTTATTACTTATTTACATCTGTTTTTAAAGCATGCTTATGAGCTAGCCAAATTTTTCTCCTGCTTTTTTTCTTAAAATGTAGGTAGCATAGTTTAGTTATGTGTTACAATGATCACCTTTTTGCTTACTTGCTGTGTCAATGCGTTGTTGGATGACGATCTGCCGCGTATGCATTGAATATAGTGAAGTAATCTTGATAGATGCAACATTTCTTTTTATGTATTGCTCAGCTGCATTGTGTTTTAGCAATGAACTGCAACTCAGTTTCTAAGAACATTTTGTGGTAGCAAGCATGGGAACTGCACTCGTAAAGTACTGAAACCCGAGGCTCTGTCAAAGGCATCTTACGCTTTGTGTTGTCTGTGACCCTTTCTCTTTAGTCCGAGGCCTCTAATTTGTCCGAGGCAATTCCACTCATGCAGAAGGATCCGGACATGATCAAGTATGAAGCTAGTGTAGACAACTACGAACTTCTTTCTGTGATCGGTGAGTGCTAAACAGTGCACACTTCTGAAGCGCACACTGAAGGGCAGTGGCGTGTCCGTAACTCATTTATGTACTTTGGAAATGCTTAGTTCGGAGGTGCCACACCTTGTTTTACTGACGTGTCGCACTAAGTTTATTGCATACTTTTTGAATGGGAGTTAAACCTTTGTTCTTATACAGTTGGCACTGGTGGCAACAATCAACTGTGACTAAAGTGCTGCTAGTCGCATCTAAGGACTAATAGAACAGTCTAGTGCTTCTGATTTGACTTGACCATATTGTATTGGC